AATGGTGGCTTGACTATACCGGATGTGGCTGTGGCTTTGTGATAGCGCCATTGCAAGAATACTGACCATTCACAAAGTGAATGTGGTGATCTTGCAGGCATACGGAAGTTCGCGCCATTTTGCTTTCTAATAGCGTGTGCAATGATTTTTATGTCGCAACCGAGGACCAAGGCTGCATCAAAGCCGGCTCGTGAGCAATCAAACGCGGCATGGTTGTGTTCGGCATTCCACCGGGTGCAAGTTGGGGCTTTACCGCAGTATAAGGTCGAATTCGTTATCACCGAAGTTTTTGAGGAGCGACAGTGGGGCACTACAGAAGGTCTCACTGGGCTTTCACCTTAACCATTGGTAGGATTTGTTTGGTGATATGGGATCTTTGTTGTCCCAATCGATGTATTTCAACGAGTGATAGTAGTCTGAAGGTCCTCAGGTTGAGGTTAGGGCATCCGAAGTGTGTTAACCTTCACTTAGATTAGTGAAGATCGGCTGCTTTCGGAAGAGTTCACACTCTTGAGCCTTCCTTACAGATCGACGCAGCTTTTGTATCAAGGTGTAAGTTTGTGGAGGTTTCATGTGCTAGAAATAGAGCTCACGTTTGTGATATTTACAAGCAGTAAATGAAAATTGGAGCTCTTGAGGGTGCTCATGATTTTTGTTGGCATAGTTTGTGGATTTTTGTTTCGCATTGTTTGTGGATGAGCAAATAGTACCCGATTCAAATGGGTTTGTAATACTTTAATTCTATTTGGATTAGAAACGAAGGAGACTGATGTATCTATGACTCACTCTCAATTTGTATGACTAAATTAATTTGGAGTAAATCATAATAAATGTTTGTGTATTATATAAACTCAGTCCCTATTCTGATTCCAACAATTCTGAGAAGTATAATTTATTATTAATATTATTATATAAATGGATTTTTAAAATATTTTTTGACACATATCTATTGTTTTTTTTAAAAAAATACCTCTTTAAAATGGGCCCAACAGATATTCCAATGGACGACACCATTCATGCCATCTTAGAAAATAGTACTTTGTCCTTTGATTTAGGACCTCATGGCTTAATTTTTTTAAGTTTGAAGCCAACTTAAGGAAGCTTCTTGAATTCGTCCAATTAAAATATTCAAAAGTTAAGGACTCCTGCCTTGTTCTCTAAGTATAAAGTGTCCTTCATAAAATTTCGCTCAGAAAAGTTATTAATAACCAAAGATACAGTTGTTTATTAAAATTTAACAACTTAGAAGTATTTTTAATTGTTTTACAAAATAAGTGTAAAATATTGACTTGTAAGAATCATAAAGTAAAATCTTATGACTTTAGAAACATAAAGTAAAATAAATTAAAAAATGAAATTATGAGAGCTTTGACTTTTAAAGAAATTACTAAAATTTGAACCATATTTTTACTTTTACATTATGATAATTGAACTATTTTATTTCTTTAAAAATATGCATACACAAAATATGTATATATATATATATATATATATAGATTCAAAACTCTATTGGTATCTCATAGTACAAGTTTAAATTAAAATTAAAAATTAGGGATATAACTTTTAAATATATTTCTTTAAAATAAAGATTCAAATATATATATTCTTTAAAATACTAATGTTAATTTTAAATTTTTATATATTAAAAAATAATTTAAATTTACTATAAATTAACAAAGAAGTTAATGCTAAGAAATATTTATATTTTATAATAATCCTATACATATTTTTAAATTTAAAATATATAAATTAAAATTTACATGATAAAATTTAAACTATATATATATATATATATATATATACATTAGTTTTTTGTTTTTAAACATTAATAATCACATAGGTCTTTTAATAATCTATAATAAATAATTGATTTACTTGTTTATATAAAATGTATAATTAAATATTTAATTTAATAATATTATTTAAAATATATATTTGAATGTCAAGGTTTTGGCTTCAAATTAAAACAATAAATAATAATTAAATATATTATACTTATGTAAAATAAAATTTGTACCATTAAATCACTTAAAAACTATAAGGATTTAGCTTTTGATACTTGTATTTATTTAAAATTTTATTTATTTAATAATAAACCTTGTACCACATTATTTTTTGTAGAAAGTGATGTAATTATAATTTAATTATTAAATAGAATAATTCTTCCAAAAAATCTCAAATACCTTTGTAATTCTAACTTAAGATGCTTTAATTTTGAAACAACTAAAACAATAGCATCTTATAACTAAAAAATCCAAATTCACAAAAAAAAGAATATATATATATATATATATATATATATATATATATATATATATATATATATATATATATATTTTAACTTCTAAAAATTAATGTCATATTGGACTATGTGGTATTTATTAGTCAATTCTTTACATGTCACAAAATATTTTGAAGAAATTATTTCTTAACTTGCTTAATCCTTAAATTTTTATTTTTCTACTAATTTTTATAATTTAATTTTAAAAGTTGAATGATGGCACCTCAATATTTTATATTTTTGTGGCAAACACAAGGTAATTATTTAAAATGTAGAAAATTTTATTATTCCAAAAAATGAGATATTTAAAAATACCCTTCTTAACAACCATAATCTTGCTAGAAATCCCAAATCTAAGAAATCCTAAATCTTATCAATTCTAAATTCTACACCCTATTAAATTTAAATAAATCATATATTAAATCTAAATAAGTCTAAAGAAAATTCTAAAAGATTTTAAATAAAAAAAAATGAAAATCCTAAAGAAATCCTAACTCTAAATAAGTTCTTACTAAATCTTGAATGTATCCTATAAAACTGTATAAAAACTTTCAAAATTATCATTAAATCTAAAAGTTATCTTAAAAAAATCCTTAAGAAAACCTTATCAAATTCTGGAAATTCCTATTAATTCCTAAAATAAATACTAAAAACTCTTAAAAGCCTGAATAAAACCTTCAATAAACCCTGTTGATCTCTTAAAAAAATATATCATATTCTAATTAAATCTTAAAGAAATCTTAATAAACCTTTAAAAAAAAATTAAAAAAATTAAAAAAACTTTATTTTTATTTTTTTAAAAAAATTAGAAATCTTAACACATTTAATGAAATCCCAAAAGAACTCCAATCAAATCTTGATATATTTCTAAAGAATCCTAATCAAACTTTAAATTTTAAGCAAAATATATAAATAATCTATAATTTCCTATTGAATAATTAGATTAGCTTTACATTTTGAATACTACTTGTTATGTAAGTCTTATGAAGGTATAAAAATTTTAAAAAATATTAAATTTAAAAATTCTAAAATAATGATAAAAATCTAAATTGATGATACTTGGTACTCTAAAGTCAAGTTGATAAAGAACTCCTATATTGTATCTTACAACTTAGTCATTAATTTATGCTTAAAATCTTTATATAGCTTTAATATTATATCTATTTTTAATATTTCAAAAAATCCGCTTCATCTAATCTTTTAATCTTTAGATATTTAAAAATAAATAACTAAATTTGATTTGTATATTTTTTGCATATCTTTATATATGTAGACCAATATTTTTTAATTGAATTATTAAAATCAAACAAAAATTAAAAAATAATTTTCTTGCTTGAAAACCAATCTACTTAAAAAAATTCTATAATAGATTAATCTAACACTTTTTAAAATTAAGCCAAGAACCACACTAAATTTTATAGCTTTTGAAATTACAATGTTTACTGACCTGCTTTTTCTTTTGATTATTAAAGATCTTTCTTATATCAAAATCCTATAAATTTATACTCTTAAAAAGCTCTTAAAACCTCCTTTCATAATCTTGTACTTCAAAAGAAATTCTTCTTTGTCATGAATGTCTATTTTTATGCATTTAATGTGATTTTAACTTTAGTTCATAAATGGTCCCTCTTTGAATATCAAATTAATCTATATATGATATTTTTTTAAACCTATTTTTTACATTAATCTAAAGATAATTTTATAAATTTTCTATCTATTATACCTAATCTTATCTAATTTTGGCTCTTGAAAGTAGAAAGAGGCCTTTTTATTTAAAAAATGTAGCATAAATTAATTTTTAAATAGATTAGAAATCACCAAGAATTATAATTAAATAGATTTATAAAGAATTTAGAATGTTGTGTATATCAATAAAAGAAATGAACAGAAGATTATATTTTAAATTAGATTTAGTCAATTTGAATATATTACTATGGCATTTAAATTTTAAAATTCTCTTCTAAAATTAGATAAATGGTATATTTTATAAATTTCTAAATAATTTTGATGTATATTATTAGGAAAATCTTTTTATCTATTTCAAGAATATTGAGAAGTATAAACATTTTTACTTCATATTTTAGAAGCTTGGAGATGTACAATTACATGCTAATTTTTTTTTAATGTATATTTTACATAATATAATTAAATGAAAAAAGTATTAATTGATTTAATAAAACCTTTTATTACTTTAAAGAAACCTTAAATTGTTAAATTTTTGTTATCTACGTTTTTTACTTTTCTATTATTTTCTCCCAACCATACTACTTAGGGAGGTGAAACAATGACATACATCCTTCTAAGAGAAAGTAAATGCCATTTTACTTCACTTTAAAATGAACCAATAATAATAATAATAATAATAATAATAATGAACTTGAAACACCATAAATTCTAAAAAAATTACAACCCGTCTTTCCAGATGCCATTGAATTATTTGTCTAACGAACCAGAGGTCAATACATCTTCCTTTTTAGGCACCGAATAATGAATTCCATCATGTACCGACTCCCATTTTATGTTTATATATTAAACTGCAGCTGTCTAAAACTTTTCTTGCAGCTTGCAAGAACAAACCATCAAATTGTGTAAAGCGTTTGTATGCTATCACTAATTCTTTGAATAAAGATCACAGCAGATCCTCCTTGGCACGAAGACTAGAGTATTCAAGCGGCTCCAAGGGAAAATTAGAAGAACAGAATGCTTTCGATGCACCATGAAGAATTGTAACATACCCCACATATTCATTGATTGATAGAGGCACAAAACTGTAGCATAGAGTTGAATTACTGTAACATCTCTTGATGCAGGGTTCATGAATCGTCTACTTCCGTTGTTCTAAGATGGAATGTGCGACTCTATCCCGCCGGTATAAGCCAAGGCTTTAATGGTTACAACTGGAGCAGGAGGCACTAAGTAGAAAAGAGGAAATCCTAAATCTTCGCTCATCTAGAATTCACCGATTACTCTCCCGGGAAAACGGATTGACATTTCACTGCTCCAATTTCAATTTTCCACCAATGTTCGATGTGTTCTTATAACAGTTTCTTTCTTCGTACTACGATAATACCTTTAAAATGTCTAGATTCTGGAGTGAGAACCAGTGTAAGTAGAACGTTCGACCACTCCAAACGGAGAGGACCTTCCGTCTTGCATCACCGACAACCGGGTTCTATTCTTGCTAGCGGCTCTCTAGTGAGCACTTTCAGATGGTCGTAACCCCAATTAGCTTCAACACAGCCTTCCTGTCTGGCATGGATGGGATAGCACCCTTCCCTGTGGTGGTGATAGCCCCGCATGCGCAAGCGAATTGTAGCGCTGATCGCAATGCGATCTCGTCGTCTAACAGCCCTTTGTTCTTCGCCAGGATGTGCAACAATCCTCCTACGAATGCGTCGCCTGCACCCGTGGTATCCACTGCGTCGACCTGATCGACACCAAACCACTAATTTGTCAACAAATTTTCAAGCTATGATCGATAATGCATCGATCACAATCCTCACCGACCACACGGACAGGTCAATTGCATCAGTCTTTAAAACCATTTGTGTGTGTGTATATATATATTTACATTTATATATTTATACATTACCTTAAAAGACATCACGCGCCCCTTGAAGCCTCGAGTATAATACCGGCATCCATCGGGGCCATCAGTGACAAGCAAGAGCTTGAGGTTGGGGCGCCACAATGACAGGACTACTTCGTCCAACTTGTCGTTGCCGCCCTTCGTCAGGAATTTCACTTCCTCGTCAGAAACCTTGATGAGGTCCGCTTGGTCCCATATGCTCATTATACCTTCATGAGCAGCTTCAGGTGACGGCCACAGAGCCAACCGCAAATTAACATCATAGGACATGAGCGACCCACTCTCTCTTGCCAACTTCATTGCAGCGCATTGCGTCGACCTGGAGGGCTCAGAAATCAAGGAAATAGACCCGTAATGGAATGTACTCGACCGCCGGATTAAATCTTCGTCGAGCTCCGACGGCACCATCAGCATGTCGGCACTGGGGTTCCTGGCAGACGAAACAGCTACCGTTGTTAATCCAAATGCAAAACTGACTTTCAATTGCAAAGTTGCGCAAAATTTTGTTGGGCTTCTTTCAACTAAAATTGAAGAAGCATACCGGAAGAACATGAACTCTCGCTCGCCATCGCTTCTGAGAGTGACAAAAGCAAGTGCCGTGCGTGCGTTGGAGTCGAACCGCAAGCCCTCTACGTCCACCTTGTTGGACATTAGCACATCCGCAAGCATGTGACCGAACTCATCGTCACCAACCTTGCCGATGAAGGCAGCGTTCCCTCCGAGCCGACTCACGCAGACTGCCACATTCGCGGGCGCGCCGCCGGGAGCCTTCTTAAAGGCCGGTGCTTCTGCCAGAGAGACCCCAGCCACTGTTGGCACAAAATCGATCAAGAGCTCCCCGTAGGCAACAATGAGCCCACCGGCGGAGTTCATGTCCGCGTTCTCCATGTGAAGCGAGAATGTTCAAAGCAAAGCTGTTGCCTTCGAATCTGCCCCACAAAGACCTTCATGTCAATATATCCTCTGTAGACAACAAATCCTTGCACCTTCTTGTCTCAAATCACCGTGATAGGTAGAAACTCTCAGAGCATTGAAGTGCGTCATTACGACAAAGAAACTAACACAATAAGTCACACGCACACCTTCACATTCCACATTTACTGAAGATAAGTGGATTTAATATCCTGAAGGAAAGGCAAAACGCCACATTACCAAGATATAAGAGAACTGGTTTACCTCTAGATCGCGGCTAGTCAGTTCGTACTTCTAGTTCAGATTTGGAAGAAAATTTGATGTAGCATGCAAGAATGCAGGGAGGAGAGAAGAAACCCGTGTTTGGGGTGATATTCAGAGCTCAGCTCAAACAACGAGACGGGTTTCCTTCCTCCTACATTGATCGCTCCGGATCTCGGTCTAATATCTCACGCGACTACCGAGTTCTGTGGTGTTTCTTTCTGGAAATGCTTGCATGCTGACAGATGGAGCATCCTTTGCTCAGTTGGAGGGTGGAGGATGACCTTTAAAATCAACACCAATATTACATTGTGTGCTATACCTCACCATCACACACATGAATCTACATGCTGGGTAACCCGTTTGTCTTACTGGGCGACCGAGGTACAATGCACCCACCGCAAAGGAAATATCTGCAACAAATCCTTACACAAGGAGCCCCAGCAAGTCGATCAGAAATATCAATCAATCGCAAGCCGCGTGCTAACCTCAGGGCGAAGAGGCCGTGCTGCGGAGGCGATAGCTCCGATGCCCTCCCTGGAACCCCATTTAACTGAAGCTGACTGGCAAATCGATGATCACCGGTGATGGATGAGATCTTATTCAGCTCTGTTGGAATTGTTTGCATAGACCACCTTTGTGACCCATTGGCACACATTACATTCCGTGGCATCATGATTCTCAAAGGGGTATTTTGTATTATAACCGGCCATCAAAAAAGAAATACATCCTGTTCTTGCTGAAGAAATGCAATGAAATTCAACTTGAATGAATCTAGTTTAAAAGTTTCTAGAATTGAAAAGGTCACTAGTTTTACTTGTTAGGTAAATGAATAAGCAGATAAGCTAGTTGCCAATATTGTAGATTAAAATGTTTGATAATTGGTTGAATTCACTGAACTAACTCCCATAAACTATGGAATATCATCAAGAATCTTGTCACTTAAATGACAACATGGTCTTGAACAGAATAAGATTTGTGTCGGATGAATTCCACCATAATTTCCGCACAAGGGTGATGTTCAATTAGCTTCAAAAGTCGCATGATTCATTTGTTCCTTCATTTTTATTTTTATTTTGCCATTGTTTGTATGTACATTGCTCAAACACACCCTTGTCCTGCCTGGCTTCTTTGGAATAAAATTACAACTGTTCCTGCGTTGATGGTTTCTCAATGTCAGAAATTGAAGTGAATGTCCTCATTCTGCATCACTGCATTGGACCGTCACCAGTGCACCCTTCCAAGTGGCACCGCCTGCAACAACAGTTGCAAGATATTCACTGATCTTAACGGAACACCATCCAACTAGGCCGATTTTCCCCTGATAATATCGACAGCCTTCTAACCCTCATCTCCCTTGCAAATTGCAGTAATCAAGTTGGTTGACAATGCCCAGCACCGGAGCTGAAATAGCTCCATCAATTTGCTCATCTGCTGCGCCTCGAACCAACCTGCAACAGCGATTCGCACGAATGGCACCGGCACTAGGAGGCTGGGTGGTAAAAAAAAATTAAAGGTCGTCGGACTGACTCAATTATTAGAGAACTGTTGGTTGATTCGAGGCTTGAAGCTGGCACTATCGGCGAGAACGCTGCAGCATCTGATTCTAGGGGGGTCTGTAGCGAAATAATACACTCTACTAATTTTGCATACAATTCCCACCACGAACGAGCGCTCCGAGAATGTGCACACGGATCTTCGCACTCTGATTTTTCTTTATATAATCTAAACAGGTAGTATCGATTATTTTGGCATCCTTTCCAGAATGTTGGTTTCCGTGGCCCATTGTGGTGTTAGTTAATAACAAATAGCTAATAATATCGACCACTCTAGGACCACTCAATACATGCAATGCTGACTTGGGTTTATCGACGATGGCGATGCACCCGTTTTCACTCAACCCTACCATTCATGGGAATTGACAACTCCGAATGACTCATTGCATACAGAAATATTTTAATAAATCCTAAACCTTTCAACTTGTCCAAAAAATTGTCAAACCTTTAAACTTGTCAAACTTGTCAATTTGTTCTTTAAACTCCAACCTCTTCACCCTGCACCTCTCCTAAGTATTTTCTAAAGACTTCCAACAATTAGTTGCCTTTCTATTAGCTGTTAAAAAACAATTTGAGGCAGCTACCCAACATTTAGGTGTGTAGACATGCATCAATGAGAGGCAGATGAAGTGAAAAGGTCGAAGTGCAAGGTGAGTGCTTGTTTTGCAAAATTGGAAGATTTGTGCTTGTTGGAGTTGATAGGATGGTATCATGAAGCCTCACAAAACCATGTTTTCGAAAAAGAACTGATAAATACATGACATTTTGAGTCTTGCAAGGTCAAATGTGTTGAGATTTGATTATTTTTTGCTTGGTAGAAAGGACTTTGTTTTTTTATGTATTTGTTTAGGATTGGTGTAAAAGACAATGTGGAAAATATGAGTTAGATACAAACTGTAGGCATTGCTATATGGTTTTTGTTGTTAATTAGAGTTAGCAAATGAAATAATACTTTGTAATGCATATCAAATTTTGTCATCTTTAAAATGTAATTTTTTATACTACTTTAAAAAGCTAGAAATAAATTTATTTCAGAGATGTTTTATTTATTAAAAAAAGTTGTTAAAAACGATTCCATTATTTCCTAAACTAACTTTCCGAGCTCATCTTTATAAAATAGTTTTATGTTGTTTTGAAAAAAAAAAATACAACATTAACTGATTAATCTCTTTTATAAAAAATAAAAAAAAGAAAAAAAAATAAAAAACTCTTATGAAAATCAAAATCAATATCAAACTATCAACACCCAAAAGCCAATGATCAGTACTTTCTAGAATTTTTATGCATTGAGATGATATAAGATATTAGTAATGAATATCTTTTTGATTATTAATAATACAGTAAAAAATAAAAATAAAATATTTATCATCGTATTTTTTAAAATTACTTATATGTAATTTTTTCCTAATAAATATGATTTATCTTGATATTATTTTTATTAAATTTATTCCTTGCAAAAACGTTTAATTTATAATTATTTTAATATAAATCTATATAATAAAATAGTGATTAAAACTTCATAATAAAAAAATTCAATACATGAAAAATAATAAGAAGAATAGAAAGTAGGTTAGAATATTTATTAGTGTTATACCAATACATACATACATACATACATACATACATATATATATCATAATTTTTTATTTAAAATTATTTCAGAACAATACATAACTTTATAATGACCAAGTAATGTTTTTTTAAAGAAATAATTATTGTATTTGACTTGTATAATTTTAAATATTAAATATTATTTTTAAAATCTTAATATTTGAAGAAATAAAAACAATTCATCCATATAGGTATTTGTGATTTTTAAAAGATTAAAAACAGCATATGCAGAGTTTATAGAGAGGTTTTTCACATCATAAAAATAAAAAGTTTTTTGAAAACTTATGTTTTAATATTTAATAAGTCTTTCTTTAAATTGATTCCTAATTATTCTTTCAAAAAGAAATTATATTATTATAATCCTTATTTTATGTAGGATTATATTATTATAATTCTTATTATTATAATCCTTATTTTATTATTATATGCATATAGAAAATAAGTTCTACATAAATATGTTATTAATATCAATTAATATGTTATAAATATGTTATTAATATATAGTAGACTAACCAAAAAAATCTAAGTTCTACAATACAAAAAAATAAATTTTTATTTTTAAATACATTATGGTTTCTACAATTAAAAATTGATGTCAAGTAAATTAATTTATTTGCTTAATACTTAATTTATTTGTAGATTAAAATAGAATAAAAAGAAATTATTATTCAGTTCATTTAATCCTCATGTATTAAGCAAAAAAAAAATTGATTTTTCCATTAGATGCAATAATCAATTTTTAAATTTTATTTTTATAAGTGTAAGAAGCGACCTCAATATGTCTATACTTTAATAACAAATACTTCTACCAATTAAGGATTATAGTTGAATATAAAATACATGAAAATATGTTCAACATAATTTAAAATTATTAAAATATGAAAAAAAATCAATGTTAATATGAAGGATGGTACTTAAATTTCAAAAAATCAAAACGTAGTATTTAGTATTCCATTAAAAAGAGGAAAATCCATAATAAAAATTATATAAAACATTATCATCTTGTAAAAATCAGGTATAGTCTTTTAAACATTCGTTTTATTACATCACGAGTTATTTTAGGATTTATAACCTTATAGTCTTTATTTTTTTATCTTTTTAGATTTTAATGTCTTTGCTTATAAGTTTAATAAATAAATAAGTAAAAGCTTAATACTATAAGATATATTTGGTGCAAAAAGTTACATTTTTACACCTAAAGGTTAAAAACTAATTATTCATCTTTTGAATACTTTACTTATAAAACATTAGTTTAGTGAAGGAGTTGTGAAAGGTTATAAAAGTCTTTTAAATTTTCATATAATAAAATCTTTAATCAAACTTTTTATATTTTATTTATCATAATAAAAAAAGATAAAATCCTTCAGTAGGTTAGATAATCTATGGTCTTAAATTTCTCTTTAATTATTTAGATGAATATCAAAACAAGACATATGTATTATGTCTAAAAAATTCAAACGTTCATTTTCTGGAGCAAGAAATTTGCAGAAATATTTAGAAAATGAGATCTATTTGTCATTTATATAACATCTGGCATCAATCAAGTGAAGATTTTAGCGCTATCTTTCAACAATATAAATAACATTAAAGTGTATTTAATAAGTAAAATTTTATTATTTTATTAAAATATTTACCTTTTGATTTTGCAATTTACCTTCATTAAAGAGCTCAACTAAAATTTGGACTATCTTATAATTTGCTACAAAATAAAGAATACCCTCTAATAAATATATTAACAAAAATCTTGTAATATTTTTATTTGACATTTTAAATCTCCTATACATATGCTAATCCTCTATGTAAGGAAAATATAGATTCTTATAAACATGTATAAATTATTAAAACTTAACAACTTGAATATTAAAAACTATTACTTTTTAATTTCTTTTTTCGATGCTTTGTAATCATTTAAGTAAAGCTAGGATCTATTATAGAATGGATATAAAATTATTCTATAATTTTATACGTACTAATAAAAGAAAATATATAAGATTATATTTAGAACCAATCATGGCCATTATATATATAATTTTACAACTTTTAGGTTTATAAATGATTCATTTATTTTAGGATATTCTCTAAATGATATATTTTTTGAATTTTTAAATAATATTTTTTTATATTGTTTAGAAACTCTTTTTTATCTATTATAAATGTATAAAGTAAAATAAAAAATACAATTATATTTTAACTCAAAAACTTAGAGATGTAAGATTATTTTTTAAAAAAAGAAATGTCTATTTGATGTAACTTTATAAAATCTTTGGAATTTTTTATTTAGAGAGATTTCATAAAATTAATTAAAAAAAATAAAGTTTAATTCTTTTTAAAAATTTAATATATTATAAAATATTTATCATAAATAAAATT